TCAGAAACTTTTGAGCTTTGTTCTCCAGTAGCTAAAATGAACAGTTATAATTTATTTATTATCACTCCTGGCACCGTATGTTTTTATTACTTCATTTGTGAATTATGCTGCGTTCCATTTCAACTTGTAACTTGGAAATTCTGAGTTTCTAGTGGGAAATTTCAACTGGAACGCCCCCTGAAGTCGGAATTCCAACTCATGAAGTCGGGGGAACCTACACAACCTCGACCTCAGAATTCAAAATGGCTGCACCCTTTATCAACAGACGTTAAGGCTGTAGATTTACAGTGTTTATAAGCAGTTATGTATTATTTGTGGCTCATTAAATTGATTGTACACACCACTTTCTGTTGCTATCCTTCAGAAACGTTTGAGCTTTTTTCTCCAGTAACTGAAATGAACAGTTACAGTTTAATTATTATCACTCCAGGCATCTTTTTATAACTTCATTTGTGAATTATGCTGCATTCCATTTCAACTTGAAACTTGGAAATTCAGAGTTCCTAGTGGGAAATATCAACTGAAGTCGGAATTTTGTATGTACTCTGAGCTAAATATAAGTGAATGAAGATGAAGGCCATTTAAACTGGGGCACATTAAATACAAAAAGATATCTGGCTAAGGAAGAAATCCTGCTTTTTGAAGCAGGTCCCTGGTTTTGCTAAACGGCTTTCCGACTTGCTGTACTGGAATGAGGTTAACTTGGGTGTGACGTCATTCTCAGCTCCGACTTCCGGCCTCCGAGGTAAATGGAACGCAGCATTAGTGTCACTCCCCGCTCCGTCCGCTCCCGATGTGTGCCACGCCCCCCTCATTACCGCGTGTGAATACCTGATTGTGATCACCTGTGTCCTGTTATGTCTGGCTAGTCTTTTGTATTTAGTTCGTGTCTCAGTTAGTTTCCCCAGATTCGTCATTGTATTGTCAAGTGCTGTTCCTTGTCTGCTAGTCCTGTCACCTAAATAAACCCCGTCTGTCCGTCGTTACGGCTCCACTTGCCTGCTTCCCTGCTCGCCCGCTTGCCAGTGTGACAGAATGACGGATCTCCCCAACGCACCTCAGGAGATTGCAGACCAGCGTCTCTATCTCCTTCAAGAGGTGCTATACTGGCTAAACCTGCCAGAGGTCCGTGAGGACCCTGGATTACAGGACCTAGCCAACCAAAGCGGGACCCTTCTCGAGGAGATAACCCCGCTCACGGCAGTGCGCGTACTAGCGGAAGTGCGCGAGAACCTCCGGCAGCTCGTCGATGGGGTGACGGAGAAGCGGCTCCAGCCGCTCGCCCTCTCTGAGGCAACCACGCCTCTACCAACTGGCCCCAGTCGGAGGAAAAAGAAGAGGCGCAAGGGGAAAGGGAGTCAGGAGGAAACCCCGACCGTTAAACTGGGGGCTTGCTCTCTTCTTTCAGCCTCTCTCCCCGCTGAATATCGGGAGGAACTCCTCCCGACACAGAAGCCAGCGGGGATCACAGCAGCCACTGCTAAGGTGCCTTTGCAGGCAGCTTCTCCCTTCCAGGGAATGCGGCTAGCCCTTAAAGGGGCCAGGACTGTCTGGCATGCGATTCCCCGGATCCCCAAGGCCCTTAAAGGGGCAGCGCCTGTACGCCCGGCGCCGATCCTGGCACCTATCACGGACCTGCCTGCTCCGGCTCTGCCCACGGCACCACCTGCTGCTGCTTCCGCCGCTCTGCCCGCGGCACCGGCTGCTGCAGCTGCCGCCGCTCTTTACGAGGCGCCCCCCGAGGCGCCCCCTGC